ATTCCAGCGCATGCGATCCTAATCCCCGCGTCCATTCGACGTCCGGATCGCGAGCACGCACGTACTCGAAAATCGTCCCCTTAAGCCCTCTAGGCCGGACGAAAAATTGTCCCGACGAATTAAGAGGAACGTGCGCTCGTCCGCTCGTCGGATCTGTCGAGACACGGCCATCGGGGGTGAAATTGGGGGTCTGTTCTTCAACGACGATCAACGATGTTTATCCACACACGGATTTTCTCGCCTGATACCACTACTCGTGGATTTTTAACCTGTTCTCTGGCACATTTTTCGAGCGAGGAATATTTTTGAATGGGTGTGTAAATTAATTCAGAAGCTTTGTTAAAAGAATTGAAATGTTATTTGCGGATTATATAATGTACTTTTAATCATGAAAATAGACTTCATTATTTAAGTAATTACTAATGTGATATTTACATTTTTAAAATTTTCTATTTGATAACTGAAAGGCATTGATTTACATACTTCGTATTATTATATTTTACATTAAAGATCGGATTCATGCAACTTGTTTATGGTAAAATAATGTGTTACTATATCCAAACATATAGCCCCTTACATTTTGAAGAAAATTTAAACTCATGTCGATCTACATTTCAAATTGATATATTTATTTTAAAGAATTATTTTGTTTGTAAGAATTCTCCAATAAATAGATTAATATACCAAGAACAAATAAAAATGTGGCCTCTATCATAGAACGAAAAAAATATCCGCTCTATAATTTTGCGCATGCGAAGTAAAGTCGTCAACGCTAAGAAAAATGATGTAGGGTCGTTATTTGTTAATTTATTAATTTATACATGATTACTGATGATATATGACACATGGTAATATTTTAATTTTTCTAAAAATATTTGTAAAATCTCTATATGTATTTATATTAGATGCTATGATATTTTACTTTTACGATTCATAATTTTAATAACTCGATTGAAATTCTTTAATAAATAAAGTAAGATTAAAATTCGTCAAAATATACATATAAAGTACATTTATATAGTTCATATGTTTATAATTTCAATCGCATTGAAACTTTTTGTATTATATGTTGTTGAATATTCTTACATCCTGCATAGTAGAAAAAATTAACTAACTTAGGTTTTCTAATACTAAGTAATATTGAAAGATTTCTTTAAGATACATCCAATTGATTCGCAAGTTATTGACCCCGAGGATTCTATATATATATATGTGCGTATTTCATCGAATGTTACTGAGAAATAATCAGAAATGTATTAAAAAATAATAATCTACGTACTTCTAATATTCAATTCTAGATTACAAAACAAAATATCGCAATTCATTACGTAATATTGGTAAATTTTAAAGACTTTGTACTGTTATCGATCATTTAAAACCCAACACGATATATTGAAACGGAGAATGACTAAAAAAAGAAGGAAGAATGCTTTTAAAAATGAATTTTATATTCTAATATCTCAACTGCGTGTGGCATACGAAGAACTTTGCTTACAAAGCAAACAAGCTCGCGGCTCTCGCTGGTTTTTTCGCTCGACTGAAAATTCTCCGGTGAAAAAACAATTATTACTCTCGGAAAATAATAATATTTGTACCTGTTCCGATGCACGGCCAATTTAGTTGATAAAGCAAATAGACCCGAAGCGGATTTCACCTCGCCTTACTTTCTAACTGATTGCATGCACCCCGTATTTGTGCTTACAATGCTTACAAAGCATTCCGCTTCTAATGAACGTTCTGTGATTCTTAGTTATCTACAAATTAAGCAAGCCATGGACTACATAGAGAAAACAACTACATATTATTATAAACCAAATAAAATCAAATTGTCCATATTTTCATAAATAAAACTAAAAAGATCGAACCTAAGTAAGAATTTGTTTCATCGCCTAAATAGTATAACAGTACGTAAGTACTTTGGCTATTTTATATATTTTTGCATATTTTTACAATATCTTGGATATTTTAGATTTCTCATAGACATATTAACATCCGCAATCTCTTAATTAGGCATGTGTGAACTACGTCCTTGAACGTATACATAATTATACATATTTTCAATTTCGCGATACATTGCAAACGTTTCTTAAAAATCCGAAAGTATCTTAATAATCCTCAAAATAATTCTCAAGTGAGATAGTTTCATTAACGTTATAAATAGTTCTTTCATAAGAAACCACACAAGACCAAATTTCCCAATACGTACTTAAAATATTCACAGTAAGAAACCGAGCTTGGGGAGCGTTAATTGCTCCGAAAACAAAAAGAACGAACTTTGACCTCCTTCTGTGCTCGTTCCTTCCAGGATGTATGCACGCGATCCCATCATCAGGCGGATCAGAGAAAGAGATATGTACTTACGCCGCCAATGGTACAAAGAGAGGCCGGATAAAGCACGGATATTGCGACGCCAGTGCGAACGTGGGAATCCACGGCTGCGATCCGCTCAGCCTCATTAATGATGATGTGCTTGCCACCCAGTTGCAGTTCCATTCTCTCTCTCTCTCTCTCTCTCTCTCTTTCTCTCTCTCCCTCTCTCTTGCTGTACGCATACATCCACACGTTCTACATATTTCAACGTGTGTAACGGCTATGTCTACCAGAGTCTATCCAGTCTTGCACCTGTCTCTTTCTCTATCCTTTCTCGCGATGCCTTGACAAGGAGACCCCGTGGAAGCTGACGCCCCGGCCAGCCATCGCATTCACCCTCCCATTTCTATCTTCTTCTCCCTCACACTTGGTAGATTCAACCCTCCTACAGGCTGCTCGACCTACCTACCCACCATCGTTGCTCCCCAACCAGCCAAGCCACGGAAATACAGCTCGTACATCTCGAACAGTACCACTCCCCCTGAACTCAATTCCGCGCA